ATCATTTGTTTTCTCGGAAAAAATAGAGGTATATAATTATTACAAGTGAACTTGTTTATATAATAAAGTGTTTGCGTAGTTTTACGGTTGTGCAAGTATAATCACTAATGGAGAAAAGCTTGAAGAAACAGATAAAGAATTCCAGAACAAGTGCAAAGAAACGGGGAAAAATAGGGAACATGCAGAAAAGGAGGAAGCGGTAGGAGCACGAGCAAACGTTTTCGCGACAATAGACAGGATGTGCGAAGGGTTACCATTGCAAATCACAATAGCAACCGCAAAACGCGAATGACAGGTTGAATAGACGTGGCTAGAGAAGCGAGTCCTGACGGTAACCTATTATTACGGGGACTCTTTCATGCGGACTATTCTGTGGGAAAACTACGCTTCCTAAGAACGGTTTTTAACTCATCGATGAAATAAAAATACCGCATCCTCGTCCCATAAACTATTTCTTTTTTTCTGGATTCTCTACGTTTAATAAATACAAAATTACGATACACACTACAATAGCTACAAATAAAATACTGTAGAGAACGCGCGATGTAACTTAAACACATCACATATGAAACAAATAAAAAACCAACACCGTGAACCAATTATCGTATCCAATAAAAATTTATTTGTCAAAATAAGAATCATATGCAAATACGTTATTATTCGGGCATTTATGTGAAAACGTTTAAGGAATAATATCGAAATCACGAAGATCCTTAAAAGAACAAAAATCTAGATTACAGAAACTCAGGACTTCTTCCGCGTATTCATTTGCATAATGTTACAAGATCAAGATCCTTGCACTTATTCGCTATTATTCCACAATTTCCATTCAAACAACGAAGGGTAGTATTCGCTCGGCACTTCTTTGTTCGAAGTCTATTCTGTGCGGGCAAGCTGTTTCAAACTCAAATTCTGTAATTAGTACTTATCTTTTTTATTACAAACATTTAGTTATCTCTTAAATTATTTTTTTAATTATTTGCCGAATCCCATTTCTACGAACAAAATCACTTGCAAACAACTGACTTGAAGGCTAAAAATGAAATATGGACCGACAGTGAAATATATCTAGTCATCTCTTTTCTTTCACGCATCGTGACAATTTCGTCGGCGTCATAGAGCTCAAGGCTCAGGGCTCAGGTGCACCAAGCCATTTAATTTGAAACGCTTCAGCGCGGAACACACGACGCTAATCGCCGGTCGAAAGTCGAAACGCGCTTCGTTCGCGCGGAGGGTAGGAAACCAGATGAGATATTATTAAAGAGCGTCGTCTGTGCGAAACCGACGACGGGAGCGAGCGTGATAATACTTGGTAGCACGCCATACGCGGACGGATGGCGCGTCGTCGCGGAAAATAGTGGACCCGAACCAGAAACCCTGCAATATTCCGCCACGCAGCCAGGTACTCCGCCTGATTACCAAGCAGCACGTGCCGCGAGATATAATGCCGTCTCCATTTGCCAAGTAGCCGGCGATATAATGCCGCGAAATCGCTTCGCCGTTAATTCACCGTCCGCAGTCACGTAAGCGCGTGGGTTATCCCGCCGCGATACCGTCAGGGATTTCCATAAGGGAGCATAAATGATACGTCGGAATATCGAGGATAAGTTATTTATGTCAAC